TGCAGCGGTGCATAATTAACAGGTTTGTTGTAAACGAGCTTTTGGTCAACTACAATGCATTTAAAATGCATCAGCAATCAGTAAGTTTGCCAACTGATGACAGTTAATCTGAAAGACTACCAGCTCTTGATATGATCTAAACCACCTGAGGTGACCATGATCTAGAGCATCGCAACTATTGTCACCGAAGTTAGTAAGAAGACCGTCACAGACAAAGAAAGATTGTCAACGAGAGCTGCAATTTTGGTGAATCCCACGGCAACACACCGAGGCATAACGAAAATTCCTCAACTCCGTTCAACACAACTTTCCTTAACTTCTCCGTCTGTATGCATGCAGCTCAGTTGAGTCTCTTAGACCTTTATCGTGATTGTCATCACAGTACCACGTGACCCAGATCTGTTGCTTCGTTTATGCATATTGAGGTGAGGTTTACTAAAACGCTTTTTGTCTACTAATAGATTGTTTTTATAATTTTTAAATGACGGGGATCGATTAAAACATAACTGTAGCGTATAGATTAAGTGCTGGATCTTCAGAATTCGAGAAATGGATTTTTATATGAATATTGTCCTTTAAGTTTCCATTTTTATACTGATATACTAACACTTCATGCTTGGTTTTTCTTTTTTTTTCTATGTTTTTTTTTTTCAAGGTGGCTGCATGCAGGTAGTTCAAATATGGCCGTGGTGGAGGCATCTCTGTTAACAGGTTTTACTCCAGAAAGAGAAAGCTTGGAAAAGCTACTTAATCACCAACATTTGAGACTCAAAAGATATGAAATAGATGGAAGGAAAGTTTTGTTTTACTTTGATGAGGTAGGAATTTAAAAAAAACATAAAGAAGCAGTAAAATTTTGAAATATACACTTGATATATAATTTTTTGATGCACCATTTATCTTAGAAATATGCTGTTTTTTCCAAAATTCACTTTAATTTTAAAGATATTTCATATTTAAGATCACTTATCATATGTTACAAATGTACAACACAGATTCTTGGCTGTGAGCAGTACTTATACAATAAAAGAACCTGTAAAAAATTCACAACTTGATTACATTTTTCCATGATGGTTTTGGAAGCATTGCCTAGCAAAAAATATCAGAGGTTTGGCATTGACTGACAGAGGGCTTTGCCTTTTTTTTTCTTTAGATTCCCAACAGTTGCTGGACTTGTATCAACTTTGAGGCCTACAGGTCACAGGTAGTGGGCAAGACAAGACCAGCACCAGTCAGAGTGTATGACTACTATGAACCTGGTAAGGAGGGAGCAGGATATGACCCCCCCCCCTCCCCTCCCTTGTGAACATGCTTATCTCATGAATGTATGGTCTTTTGCCACACTAAAATATTTTCATATTAAATAATCATTGATGAACATTTAAGTACTGTCAACCTCTGTATCCGTAACTGTAAGCTACATAAAGTTCCTTCAAATCAGCTGAATTATTTGCAAGAACCAGAAACTCTGTGCATAATATTTAGGGAATTTACATTTAAAATCAACCATCAACTTTTTAAAGATGTGGTGTGTTAAATTAAGTAAGATATACCTGGCCAAGGAAGTAAATGTCTACTTCCTTGTATGACAATATTTCAGTATTGTAGAATTTGTGATTGAAAATAATATTCTATCCAATGTGTTGTTCTTAAATATTATTATGTTTTTAGCCTATGAATCAACGGTGTTCTACAGTGGCAAGCACTTGGGTGTCGTTGCAAGAGAACTATGTGAGGGAGATTCATGTAATGAGATTTCTGAGGAAGAGGAGGAACAAGGTAAGAATTGACAGTTGCATCATTATCATTATTATGAAATGCAATGGTGCCTTGCTTGAAGAGTCTCAGAAAACTGCATAATTCATGATCAAGGAATGTTTAGAAAAGTTTAAGAAAATACAGAAATCAATGACATAATTTATGCAATCAACGAAATGTGACAAAATCAGGACTTGTTTTAGGGTAACTTTTTTATGAAATAAAAAAAGATAAGAAATCAAAATTCACTGATTTCTACTGGGCAAGGAGAATCATTTTTTAACTCGTAATAGGAGAGAAGCATAGCTATCCTGAAACATTTGTTTGGGGGTTAAAATTTTTCTAATGTTCTACAATGTTCGTTCCAGTGGGTATCCTTCTCTTATTTTATCATTGAGACCACAAAGGTTACAAAATAATTATTTAAAAAACATATGCATATATATCTACAGTACAAGATGAAGACTGCAACTCCGTATTCGGCTGCTACCACAGCAGTATCAAAGAGGAGGACAGGTGCTCTTGCTACAGGGACTGTCGTCACTCTGGCCCCAGGGTGTGTGGTTCAGATGGGGTCCTCTACCCCAACAAGTGCAGAATGGAGGTGGAGGCCTGTAGCCAAGGAGTGCACATTGAAGCTGTGCCTCTGATGAACTGTGATGGGATGAAACGAGGTGTTTTCTCACTCTTTCTTCTTTTTTTAATTTTAAATGGAAACTTTGCATTTCAATGCCCTGTTTATAACACCTTGAATTAAAATAGAATAAAAGAAATTGTTCTATTAAAATTTTGAAACATTGTTTAATTGTGTAATAAGTGGTAATATTCAATTAATCAAAATTTAACACATAACTTGCAGCTCATCATAAAGCATTTGCAAGTTAAAACAATTTGTATTTCTTTTTCCTACAGTAACGGACCTTCCCCAGACCACTGCTTCTTCCCACAATTCCTCTAAAGTGGATATTAAGAGACCCGGGGAGGTATCCCAGGTTGATGCTGGGTCAGGTGAAATGGAGGGTTCTGGGGATGTGGCTCAGGTCACCAGCAACACGAAAATATTAGTGGCTGCCACCACAAAGCCTCTTCAAGGTAGGTCATAATTCAGGTCATGTCAAGTTAACTATTTTTTTATTGGTATAAATGAAAGCAATAAAATGTATAATCTCTAATGATCTTTTTGACCTATATCAATAAAAGAACTTATGTTTAAAGTTTCATTTTAATTTTTTTACAGTGGAACACCAAAAATTGGTTACATGAATTATGTATGAAGCCATGCTATATTATACTTGTACTTCTTTTCTAAAATAATTTGTCAATGAAACTGAAAAAAAAAAAAAAAATTTCATCATTTTTGAATAAGCATAAATCTAACATTTTTTCAGATCAACTCCAGGAAGTCAAACCAGGTGAGGAGGATTATGCTTACTATGATGACTATTATGGACGCCCTGATGAAATACCAGCAGTGAGTAGCAAAGTTTGGGTTTTATGTTTGCATTCATTGCATGTTCAGAATAGTTAACTGGAACATAATTCTCCCACAGACCTAACCAGACAAGCCAGTTAAGACATCAAGCAAGAAACTGTGCTATGGCATACACATCTTTCTTTCTTTACCTTTTTTTTTTGACAGGATGATCAGTATCAGTACATTTTTCCTGAGCCTGTGGACCCTAGGAGAGACATTTGGAGACAAGGTCTGGTTGATCTCCCATTACCTGAGGATGCCTCAGCTTCAAAAGTGAAAGGCAAAGATACTGATAGTGTGGATGAGGTCACTGACACAATTCAAACTGACACAAGTGAGAAAGACTCTCCTGGTGAAATAGCTCACAGAATTCAGACTGACGCAGAGAACATTACTGAAGGGCAGCAGATGCAAGGTCCAATTTCACATCATATTTCTACATCACACAGCCCTCTAGAGGCAACAACAGAAGCATCAGTGGATGTGAGAAACCAGTCATTGGTGGCCAAACCCCAGATCAAGTTCATGCCACCACCATATATCAAAGACAGTCCCCAGGTTGTGTTCAAATCCAGAGAATCAGAGGTCACAGACACCAATAAGGAGGATGAACAAGGAGGATAAGTACATGTCCTCAGATCAAACAGTTAGGCTGTGAATGAGAGGGTGAACAAAGGATAGAGTTGCAGACAACAAAGAGTCAGAAAAAAAGTGCTAAACTGATATAATACCTCACTTTATGTTATTGAAGAAATGCTATGTAAATATGTCCGTTTTTTCCTATTTTATGCATATCTTTTTTGTTATAAACATGATTTAAGACACTGCATGGAGGTTTCATATGGCAAGCTGGGTGTTTGAGTCCACTGATAATTTAGTTTTTCTGTAATATCATCCAACCCAGAGAGAGAATTAAAACGTACATTTAAGGTTGTTAAGTTTTTGATTGGATTTTTGGTGAAATGTAACTGAAGACTTTACAAGTCAAAATAAGTCAATTTTGATTCAGAAAGTTTAAATAATCAATTTCCATTTGTCAGAAGAAAATGTAAATGAAATGCAGAGAATGATAACCATGGTTATTTTTTATTTTCCAGACATTATTCCTCAAGTAAGTCACATCACAACCAATCCTTACATGCTAATTGAAAGCAAATATGACTACCTCACTGTCTGTAACCAAGTATATAAGTTTTGTTAAAAGCGATCACACATCAAGGGATACTTTACACACAAAGAAATAATAAAATGAATGGTTCATAAATAGTTTCCATTCAGAAATCTAGTTTGCATATCAGCTGGTCGATGCACATTTGTTACATAATCCTAGTTCAATTGCATAAGATCGATTTTGTACTACGAAAATACAAACAGACAACCATGCAATTAAGGCTCAGAACAATTATTTGACATTACATACAATTCATATTTAACAAAAATGTCACTCCATTACCATGGTGGCAATAAATTAAGTCTGATTCAATATGGAATGTGAACTCAATTTGCTGAGTGGCATTCTCTTACATAATTTTTCAAACACTTCATAATTGACTAGCATTCTTTTAAATGCAAATTTCTAAAAAGAAATGTGTTTATGGGTATGACAGTTCATGATATAATTTTTTATTGAGACCCCTTATCCTTGGCATATATTGAACAGATGACATCATTTCATGTGTTTAAATGTCTACTTTCATAATGACCAGAGTGCACTTCAGGGGTTTGAAATATATCTTTCATAACAAAATACACAGTATTTTGGACATATTTTGAAAGTTTACCTTTAACAAAAAAAGCCCAAAAGAAACTAACATTGCACAGTTCTAGTTAAAA